GAGCCTCCTCCAGCTCCCCTGGCTCCTGGGCACGTGGTGGAGAGGTTGAGCCCTGCAGGGGGTGAGAGCTCCATTTACCCAAACAGGAGGAGAATCCCCCTGAGAAACGGGAACCCGTGCAACCCATTCCCAGTACAGAGGCAGCCAGTCGCTCCCAGCACTGCATAGCTCCAGGTACCACCAAAACCCACCCAGCTCATGGCCAAAGACACAATGCCTGCAAACAAAAGGAAAAAAAAACCACTAAGAAGAGCTCCGTGCGTGATTGCTGCAGGTTTTCAGGACATTTATTGCCACCACACCAGTGGAGAAGCCTGAACCCAGCCACTTCCTCCCAAAAACCGTGCAAAACCTCCTCTCAAAGTTAATCAGTTCTCTGGGAAGGAATTTTGCTTCTTTGACAGCTTCATTTTTTGTGTGCCACAGCAAACGGTGGGTTTGCACTCTCAGGGCTTGTGCCCAGGTCTGGGCACTCAGCGATGCTCCACACCTTCCACCAGCATTCCCCTCCACCAAGGGAAACACTGAAAGCAGTTTTTCACATCTGATACAAGTTGAGAAGGGGGAGGGGGAAGCATCCTCAGTTTGGGGTTGTTTGTTGAGTCAAATACATTCTTTGTTGGCTTCGCAGTTTGCTGGGCACAGAGCTGGTCCTGCCTGTCGCCCCGGCAGGAGGTGTGTTGGGAGAGAGGGGCCAGTATTGCGACTGTGCTGTGGGGAAAAATAGTTGATTAGGTATTGAGTGAGCTGCATTACACAAGGGGTGAACTCGGTTAGCCCAGTGAGTAATTGAGGAGGCACAAGGAGCTGTCTGGGCTCTGTTACAGCCCTTCCTTCCGCTTTCTACTCCCGCCGCGGCTCCCATTTACAGCACTTGTTGCGAGAGCCCCTCTGCTTTGCCTGGCTTCTTTTAAAGATGAGTTTGTGCTGAAAATGAAGCTTTCCCGACTATCCCTGAGCTCAGCGCCTCTCAGAATAGCATTTTTCTCTAGCAGGTCTAACCTCTGTTTCCATAGCTACTGGTACACGACATTCCAGGAACGGCACAAACCTCAGCTTCGCAGAGTCAGTGGCAAACACGGCAAGCCAAGTCTACAACAAAAGGGCCCCCCATTCCGCAGTGAGATGGACCCCTGTCCAGCAGAGCCCCTCTAGTGGGCTCTGGACCCCTTTGTGAGCCTCCCAGGCTGTTTCCCATCATACTGAAGTGCCTACATGACTACCGCGGAGCTATTTCGGGAAGCCGGCAGGCTCTGGGGTAAGAGCCAGCAACGCAAAGAGCTCCAAAGCTGCCTGCTGCAAGGCGAGCAGCAGCCCGGACGGAGCTCCTGACGGTTGTTTTCACAGCACTTGCCATTTCTAAATTTTAGCAAAAGAGCCGGCATCCCGTGATAACAGCCCTGACCCCATGGTAGGCAGCAAGAGGCCAGGGATGCTGATGGAGAATGCGTGAGGAGTGGATGCAACCAGAGTCAGTGCGGCACCCAGCACCGGGTGGCATCTGCCTGGCACAGCCTTGGTTAGTAGCCACCGGCACAACGGGGAGCCAAGGCGTTAGCTGCACGGCACAGTGAGGGTACCTGGAGGCCATTGCAACAGAAGCTCAAGATATCTTCAGGAATTACAATATTCCCCTTGACCATTTTTAACAGACACCTGGAAAGGAGAAGAGTGGCTGTGGTTACCTGCAGGGCCGGCAGAGCCGGGGGTGGAGGATGCCCACACCCCATGCTGCCATCCCTCCCCATGCCACCGACCCCTGGCCAGCACTTATAAAAGGGGGAGGGTCTGCTGGAGCTGAAAATAGGTGCAGACTCGGGGCTTGCGCCTGCCATTCCTCAGAGGTCGAGTTGTGATGGAAAAAGTACTGTTTTGGGGTGCTGGACCGAGCCTCAGGTGCAGTGAAATGGCCCATCCCTCGGTCGGTGACGCTGTGTTGATACTTTCCACATTGCTACATGTGACAGAGGGCTGCGTCCTGAAACTCCTCCGACTGGCGTGGTGACATCGCTGTGGTCACAAGACAGCCAGGAGCATATTTTTGGCAGCAGGCAGGACTCGCTCTGCGCTCGGGTGGTGCCGGGGGCAGCAAATGGGAAGCGCCACCAGTGGCAACACCGCTACGCCCTGCACGGGCCCCTCTGCCTGCGAAGCCCTGGCATCCATCCCCCAAGGGCGTCGTGTGCCCTTGGGTGCCCACGGGCTCCCCAGCCACCTGCGCTGTGACCGGGTCCCGGCTGGACACGGTGGTGGCATTGCAAGGAAAGACAGCGTGGGAGCTGCAGCAAAATACAAGAGGTTTTATATTTGCAGTTTGATTTTAAACACAAGATCAACAGGACCTTGGTGTGCCTGCAGCTGTCCCAGCAAACATTCCTCTCCCACACGGGTCCAGCCAGGCTGCCGGAGGCGGCAGGTCCTTCCCGAAGGAGCAGGACTGACCGATTTTGGCACAGGGTCAAAAAAGTGGAAGCTGTGGATTTGACTCCTGCACTGTCAGTCCTTTGCAGGAGCTGGCACTGGGGCCATTGCATGGTACACGTGTTATGGTTGGGACAAAATGAGGGTGTTTAGCGCACCAATGGCTGCTGCTGAGTCTTCCAGAACCTTCTCCTCCTGTCTCAGTGGCACTGGGCTTTGCTTTCGCCAGTCCCATAACTTCTCCCAGCTTGCTACTGAGGCTTGGGAGCTTGCTCACAGCTCACCCACCCTTCCAAGAGCCTGGTGCAAGAATTACAAGATGGGTTTGCTCCCTGGGTTTGATTTTTTTCAGGCACAAGACAGTGGCTGGGGGGGCCCCATCACCA